GCGTCCACTACATCTTCCCTCCCGGGATAGTTACATGTTCAACCTGCGCGGCGGTTTCACGGCACGGCCAGAACGCGTACGCTTAGGTTCATCACACTGAGGCGCACTTGCTTGCACAGGTAGCGTCTGCACTTCAGGCGAGGGAGGCATCTTCACAGGCGGCACAGGTGATGCGCACGAAGCACTTGAAGCACTTGGAGACAATGATTCCGACGCTGAGGTCGAGGCTGAGTCTCTTGGCGGATTTGATGACAAGGTTCCATGCGTCGGTGATGAAGCCATTGATGCTTGCTGTTGGACATTTTGGTCATCTACAAACGGCACCAGATGGCAACGGTTCCTCTGGACAACACCACTTTGAGTCTCGACCACATATGACCTTGGTCGCTGAGCTGGGCTGAGGACACGACCGCTGCAACCTAAATCCTTTATCCACACATCCTCCCCCATACTGAGAGAAATCAGAGGAGTAGTACTGTGACGGCTATTGTAGTCCTTCGCCTGTTTCAACTTCGCCGCAGTATCCTGTGCTTGAAATTCCTCGTGATTGGGTAAGGCCGGAAGAAGTCGTTCAGGCAGAACCGGAAGACGAGTTTGTAGTCTCCTTCCCATGAGTAACTGAGCTGGAGAGACGCCCGAAACTCCAGGTGTGTCTCGGTATGCGAGTAGAGCGAGGTACGGATCCGGGCTTTTCTTCAGCAAATCTTTCACGGTACGCACCATGCGCTCTACCTCTCCGTTACTCTGAGGGTATCGAGGGCTGCTGGTCTCGTGGCAGAATCGATACGCCGTTGCAAAGTCGGCGAACTCCTTGGACGAGAATTGAGGTCCATTGTCCGTCCGCACAACGTCTGGTATCCCAAAACGGGCAAAACAACTCTTGACCGCAGCAACAACCGCTTTTGCTGATGAAGTTCCCAGTGTGACTATTTCTGGAAATCGGGAGTAGTAGTCGACAATGAGGACGTAGTCGCGTCCTTCCAGGTGGAACAAGTCGATTCCCAGGCGTTGCCATGGTCGTTCCGGTGTTGGCGTTGGTGACAGTGGCTCAGAACGCAAGGTTCGCGTCTCAGCACACTTAGCACATTGAGCCACAAGGTCCTCAATATGCTGGCTGCAATGGGGCCACCAAACGCACTCGCGGGCGCGCACTTGACAGCGGCGGACACCTTGATGTCCTTCGTGCAGTAGTGCGAGAATGTCCTTGCGTTGGGCTGACGGGATGACAATGCGGCGATCCAGTAAGAGTAACCCATCGTACACACTCAGTCTTTCTCGCTCCTTCCAGTATGGTGCTAAATGGGTCGGAACTCTCTTCTTGGACGGCCAGCCTTTCTCACAATAAGTCATAATAGAAGAACACTCGCTATCTTGAGCTTGAAGACGACGGATCTCGTCTAGCTGATTTTCCAGTTGTAAAGGTAGCTCCTTGAGAACTTCCCCTATATAGACTTCCAAGCTGCTGACTGCTTTAGAAGTTGGCAAGTCGCAGGGTGCTCTTGATAGTGTGTCCGCTGTGGCTAGCAGTTTTCCAGGAACATACTTGACGGCGAACTGATAGCGCATCAGTTTTATTCGCATACGTTGAATTCGAGGTGGCAAGATGTCCAGATCTTTACTTGACAGGAGAGCTACAAGCGGAAGGTGATCGGATTCGACCTCAAAGCTTAGTCCACGTAGGTATTGATCGAACCTGGTGACAGCCCATGTGACAGCCAGAGACTCCTTTTCCGTTTGACTGTAGCGTCCTTCTGTAGTAGTGAGAGATCTGGAAGCATAGGCAACTGCTCGTCGAATTCCTGACGGTTGATCTTGGAGTAAAACGGCACCAAGGCCATGAGAGCTTGCGTCAGCCGATACTATAGTTGGGTAATGGGGATTGTACATAGCCATACATGTGTCGGAGCTGAGCAAAGACTTTATCTTCTTGAACGCTTCCTCTTGGTTGTAACTCCAGCTCCACGCGTTATTCTTGTTGAGGAGTGCACGAATAGGTGCGGAGATCTCAGACAGTTTTGGAATGAATCGAGCCACATGGTTTACCATTCCAAGTAATCGGCGAACACCACTAACATCGATTGGTGGTGGGAGATCCATGATAGCCTTGACTTTGTCCGGGTCTGGACTAATTCCTTGCTGGCTGACGACAACTCCTAAGAACTTGACAGAAGAGACCCTGAACTGACACTTCTTTTCATTAAGAGTGACACCCGCTTGAGTCAACCGTGCCAAGACGTCAGCTAGACGCTGGTCGTGCTCTTGATGGTTCCTACCAAAGACGAGTATGTCGTCTATCATGTTGACGACTCCGGTGATGCCTTCGAGCAGTCTCGACATGAAGCGTTGGAAATACTCGGGTGCTGTCGCAATGCCAAAGGGAAGACGCTTGTAGCAATATCGGCCAAAAGGTGTGATGAATGTCGTCAGTTCTTCACTCTCACGAGTTAGTTTTATTTGGTGGAAGCTGGATCTTGCATCGAGCTTGGAAAAAATTTGTGCCCCACCAAGCTGACCTAAGATGTCTTCAACTGTCGGCAGAATGTAGCGTTCCCGCTGGATAACCTTGTTAAGCTTCGTCAAGTCGACACAGAGCCTGTACCCGCCCGACGACTTCGGCACGACGACGAGGCCTGAACACCATGCGGTAGGCGTGTCAACCTTGCGAATGACTCCTTGGGTTTCCATTTCATCCAATTCCTTCTTCACATGCTCTAGCAGAGGCAGAGGTATTCGTCGAGGAACACTTAATGAAAAGGGACGAGCATCTTGAGCGACGCGGATGTGGTATTCTTCCTGTACTTCGCCAAGCCCACGAAAAATTTTTGATTGAGATGACGGAATACCATCCACAGAGTCCAAAAACTGAACGATGCCCAAGTCTTCAATTGCTGGTAATCCCAGGAGGTGTGTCGTCTGGTTCTTGATAACATACAGTCTTTGCACAGACACTTTGTTACGCCACTGCAAGGTAGCAGTGAAAGATCCCAGAACGTGCAGCCTTTGATTTCCAGGACCGGATACCTCGGCGTCCACTTATCCAAAACAGTAGGTAATGCCGGAAAAGAAGGTGAAACCACCGTTATTTCGGCCCCTGAGTCTATCTTGAAGTGTGCGAGGTGACCATTCACGTGAATGTCGGCATATCGTGCCCGACGCGTACTGAGCGCGTGAAGTTCCACTGAGCCTAACAGCTCTTTCCGATGCTTGGCCCGGCAAACAGCAATAAAATGACCTTGCTTCTTGCAGAAATTGCATGTGGCTTTGCGAGCTGGGCATTCTTTTCGAGAGTGGTGACCACGGCCGCAGTAATCGCAAGTAGACTGAGTTGGCTGCACAGATTTGCTGCGACGCGATGAAGCGTTCTTCGCGCGTTGCGCCGCGTCCACGTTTAAGCTGTCAAAGGCCCCGTTCTCGCTGGGAATTTCACGGGATAGACGCTCTTTTTCGGCTTCTTCATGAACACGCGCTTGGCACAACGCTTCCTCAGCTGTAAGTTTCGTACATCGGCACAACTGATCCGATAGCTTCTCATTCCGCAATCCAACGACAAACTTGTCTCGCACAAGGCGGTCTTCGATCTCGGCGTTGTTGTACCCACAACGCTTGACAAGATTCCTGAGCGCGGTGAAAAATTCATCAACCGGCTCCCCAAGTTGTTGCACTCGGCGGTGAAATCGGCGGCTCTCGTAAATCTCATTGATAGGGTGGACAAAATGCGAAGTGAGCTTAGCCTTGACTTCCGCAAACGGGCGGTTTTCCGGAGCAGACAGTCCTAGCGACGACAAGACGCTACGTGCTTGGGAACCCATGCAATATAAAAGAGTTCGCACCTGCACCTCGTCGGTGGCTGTGTTGATACCGGCCGCGAAGGCGTAATCTTCGTACCTCGTTATCCATGTTGTCCATTCCCCAGGGCTGGTGAAGTTGAAAGGCGACGGAGGCTGAAGTCCCGGTGTACCGACGTGAATGAAGTTGAGCTGAGAAGGTCCGGCGTCTGTCTCCTCCATAACTCCGCGTTAGACGCCCACTTCTGACACCATGTTCAGAGACGCCGAGTAAGACACGAGCATGGCTCATAGCAACAACAAGAAGACCCCCTTTATTCCCAACTGCCCCCCTGCTATATACCCCACATGAGGTGGCGCGCGCATGCCGACAGCGCCATCCATTAGAGGATTAACATAGCACTCAGCGTCCACTACAGGAACAGCCGAGCAGACGATAGGCCCATGTGCGCGCGTCATGGGACTGCGCTTACTCTCGCCGTTTGCAACTTGGCTCCGTCGTACGGCGCTAACGCACAAAGTCGGCGTTCGCGCACGATAGTTAAAAAGATTTGGGCGGCTGTACATGTGCAGAAGCTCCGCCCCCGTAGCTTTCCCTTCATTGCCATGAAAAGTTGTCCTCGTTGGAAGAAACCAGCTTGCAGTGGAAATGGAGGTCTTTGACTACGCTAATAGGGTGAGCACCCTATTATTGTTCAGCAGTGCCTTCAGTTCATATACATCTGGCCATCCTGTTTGAGCATGTGTTGGCAGCAAGCACTCCGAGCTTCAAAAAAAGTCAGCTAGCCGCGCTGTTCACACGCTGGCTGTCCTCAACGTCGAAACAGTTTCATGTTGGAGCATATTACAGTTACATGTATTTCAACTTACACTTGTATCAGTTACTCTATTTCCCTGTTTCATAGATGACAAGATATAAAAGTTTAGAAATAATTTACTGTAGTAAATTTCTCATCCTGCTGTGTCAAATTACCCCCCCCCTTCCCTTTTTCTCAGGGTCTCCCTATTTAAACTTTCACGCTACACAAAAAAAGTAACCTAACGCTGATGTGCTTCCTGGGTGAGAACTGAAATAGACAGGACGCAACATGCGTCAAACACTTCAGTCACCTTGGTCTCTCGCGATTCCCTCATCTCATGCGCGGGGGCGTATGAGATATACTAAGCTCTCCTGAACTTTTGCAACAGAGCGGACGGACCCGTAGCAGTACTGCAGTTTCGAGCTGACAAGGCACTGCACTACCGAAGACTGCCTACCGTCTATTCAGCAGCAAAACAAAACAGCATAAGTGCAAAAAGAAAAAAAAGCATGCGTTTATTGCTCCAGGAAGTATCTATGTGTGGCTGCAACACTTCATACAGAACCAGTGACGCTTTAGGTCCTCCTTCTTCACTGAAGCACACGGCCTGTAATATAATGGAGAAAAGCATGTAAGAACACAAATTATGACCTTATGCCATCCTATACTTACCAGTGAAACCATTCCAAGCACTGATCACACAAAACCATTTTTATTTCGCCATCATCCTTTTTCTTGCATTGTGCACAGCTCCATATGTCTCCTTTTTTTTTTTCACAGCAACTGCAGACAAGGAACAGTTGCTCATGCATGGCAGTCACAAAACAATGATAAACGACCAGAAAGAGATAGGTTCTTACGGGATGATGAGAGCAACAGCCATGCCTCTGCGGTGAAGTATTTCTTCAGCTTTGGCAATGATACCCGGTGGTCTAGGAGGGCGCTCGCCAACTCCTCGGGGCGCACTTCAATATCACTCTCATCGAGAATTCCCCCTTCATTCAAAACACGTGCTGCAGCCTCCTGGCCAGCAATGCCAGTTAGGATCACTGAAAAAAATATCCAGCACATAATGCACAAGCATGACAAGCCATGCCAATAAAGAACATTTCCTCAGATTAACCTTTCTTGAGGGACGTAGCTAGTGCATGTTTAAAAGTTCTTAAAAATTATGCATCTGACAAAAAATTATCACTAGAAACGTTTTCTGTTCCATTCCAAGCAAGTAATGATTGCACACTTCCAGAACGCTTGCAAAAGGCATATTTCCTTACACTTTTCTTGAGACCTCGGAGATAAATCCTTGAAAGGCACAGGACCTTCTCCTTGTTTCTTCCTCTTCATTGTTCTTTGGCGAATGCGCTTGGCAGGACGTCCTCTGCTTTTCACCACTGGAAGCTTTATTGGACAGCTTTTCCCTGTTTCCTCAGCTTTCTCCTGCACGTTTTTTACTACAACGGGTTGACCAGGATTGTCGGGTTCTTCAGCTTTCTCCTGCATGTTTTCCAGCTCAATGGCTTGACCCGAATTTTCAGCTTCCTCAGGTTTCTTCTGCATGTTTTCCACTTCAACGGCTTGACTATGAGGATTTTCAGCTGCTTGTGTGTCACACTCACTGTTACTGCTGGTGGCTAAATTTATAGAGCAGTCCCTTTTGTTCTCTTCACCTCCTTTGAGCCAAGTGCTATTCAAATCCTCCAAGAACCCGAGTCGTTGTGCAAAGATACCAGGTTGACAATCGGCCAACGTGTCAGCAAGTGACTTGAGTGTCCGCATAGCAAAATTGTATCGCTGATTACGGTTCATTTTTTCAAAATTTGGGCCAGGCATCGAAAGTATTCGGAGTTGGTCTGTGGGGGTGCTGTTCTCAGCAGCGGCTTGCTGATTTGGCAAGAATGCGGCCTGGTACCGTTTGAACCAGCGGCTTCGTACTGCTTTGTCCAAGTCAGGCTCAATGTCGTATTTGACGTACACGGCCAACAAGTGCCGGCAAGGCAACCCCATTTTGGAAGAGAAGGTGCAGCTGCACGAGTGACTTTCAATGGAAATATCATGCCACCTTTCTCCATTTGAAAATGTAACATGGTACAATTTTTCTTTTGTTTTCTTCACTTCAATATCATTTTCTGCAAGTTTGCTGAACTGCTTTCTAATTACTCCACAAGCAAACGGGGTCAGCACTTTAGCACATGCCTCTTCAATTTTATTATTGCTAGAATGGTTGTAGAAGATACATGTCTTCAGCAATGTTGCTGAGTGGGCCGACTTTCTTTCAATTCTGCTTGATAAATCTAGCAGTTTTCTTACAGCATCATGAAGCTTTGTTGATGATGACAATGCCGTTTTTATGAAACCATTGTGCGCTTCAACTCTGTTAGTTGTGTTGGCTCCACAAGTGAACTCTTGGTCGCAGATGTGGCGAACCCACATGTTCTTAATTGAGAGCCAATTCTTCTCGAGGTACTCTATTGAGTCTTTGCTTGCAAACCTTGTGAACTCAGACTGTGCATCTTCAAATTTGCTTGAATTAGGGGCGTGCAGCATTTCATTGAATGTGGTCACCATTTTGTCACGTTCTTCAGCGGAACGTGCTAAGTGGCTAGCTGCTGTTCTGAACGCTTTCATCACATGAAACTGGCACAACTGTATTGATGGAGCAGATGGGAAAGCGCTACGAATTGCACTAATTTCGGTGAAGTCCTTGTCCACGACTATGACGCCAGTATTTTCAGAACAAGGGTTTTCCTTCACGAAGAGGTTGAGCATTTCAGTGACGTGGTGACACTGCTCAGGAGCAACAAAAGCATAAGCAATTACTTGGCTTTCTCCACACCCATCTTGCACGACAAATACAAAAAGTGGCATCTTTAACTTGTTTGTCCTATATGTTGCATCAAGCAACACCACCTCTGGGAAGGACTTATATGCTTGCTGCATGTGTGGCGTTTGAATAAACAAAATTTGCAGCTCCTCATTTTCATCTGTGATAGGAATTATCTTTGCCCGATGCTGCTGACGACACTTCTCTATCTCCTGAAGAAGTTGTTCAGCTTCGTCTCGGCCGTGACAATTTCGCTTGACATTGTGCAGATCCTGCGTTGTTACCACCTTTCCTGTTGGTAAAAGCCAGGAAAGAAAGACATGCATGAATAGCATGCACTGACAAAACAGGAAAAAATATTCGGAAGTCATAATTGAGCACTCTGAGAAAAATAAGACGGGAAGTGCGAAAATTAAGGCAATCAATGCGTCGCAAAAAGAGGGAAAAAACACATGTCCTTACCCGTCTTTTCTGCTAGCTTCCCAGCTATGACATTGGGCAACACATTGAGGTCAAGCAAAGGAAGGACATATTCCTTTTCATGGTGCGTAAGCCGGCGGTTTTCCGGATACAGCTGGAAAATTTCCTTGTTCACTTCGTGGTTGTGGTTGCAGTCAATCTTTGTTATCTCTAACTGCTGGCTGGTCCGACGTGCTGCGATGACAACGGTCGCGGGACACCCTTGCTTCATGGTCCTGCGCACATTTTTTTTTTCTATTCGTAACTACTGGAAACGTAACCCAAGAGGTTAGCTCATTGTTAAAGTGTACAAGTTAAGAAAGGATAGATGGATTGCAGCTCACCTTTGCTGAGGTCGTACACCAGTAGCAGTGCACCTCCGTTCCCCGGCGTGTTTACACACATACGTCGCGTTTGCGTACTTGAGCTTCTTTTGCAGACGTTCAAGTCCGACACTTAGCCGCGAATTGACGACGTCCACTGTCTTTGTCGCTTTTGCTACGAAAAGGGTATTGTTTTGGAGCTGGTATTCCCTAAAGGCGCGATCAAAATCGCTAAAACAACTAAACCGTGGCCCAACTTCGAATCTCATGCCGTTCACCACACTGCGGCCACTAGAACAACAAAGCGAGGCGCCTGTGCACGGCCGCTCGATGAAAGCATGAATACGCACGTGGACGTGCACTGAGCAGCGAGAGTAGCGAGGGCGCTTTCCGTTTTCTGAAGTTGCCGCGTGGCGTGTCGTGGCGCCTCAGTCGCGTCGTGCGTATACACGCTTCCGCCAAGACCCACGACGTCGTGCGTATAGAGTCTTGAAAATGCGTTCTGCTGCTGAAATGTAGCAAAGTGTGTAATATGAAAGCTTTGTTACAGCACTAACGTATCAGATCAACTTCTAAATGGAGGAGTATTATTTGGATAGTCACTGTAGGGCCAAAAATGAGCACATAGGACACGCTCACAGTGCATGTGACCGTGTGCCGCTAGATTAGCATTTAACGTTGGCACTCTTGTCGACTTTATTTCAGTATCGAGTTACGGTCACGTTCTTCTGTGTTTGTGAACCCGGTGGAACACCTCAGCCCTTTAATTGTGCGCCCGTAGTTTTTTTTTTTTTTTTTTTGTTTTTGCCGCTTTCCTTTCGAGCGTTGCGACCAGTATTCAAGTGCAGTGCCGCTGTGACTCATTGCCACTCTTGCAAAGGCTAATTATAGCGCGAGTAACTTAATTCGTTTATGTACCGCAGGTGTGTGTTAGTAACTGGTATAACACAATGCACCCAACATCGGCATGTACTTGCAGTCATTTCAACATCTCCATCAGTGCCATATTAAATAAGTGATTTCTGTCAAGGCTTTTTTATGGCTTTTAATTTCCTAGCATTGCTATTACCTACAGTGACTGTGCAACCTGGACATGCCCCTTGCTGATTGATGGAAGATCATTGTATTAAAGTATTAGTTAATACAAAAGCACGTTTGCACTTTTACAAGTGTGTTGTTTCTTCTCTGCTAGGCTAATGTCGCCTATGCAGCTCATTTTAATCGTGAAATGGTTTTGACAAGCATTTAAAAAGTCATTGCAGGTTCGTATGAGCTGTTCAGATTAGGAGCCGCGCCTAACATGTGTAGATTGCTATAAGGCGTAAAACATACACTTTGACCGATTGCACTGTGCTGCGGAAGTGAATTTTCAACTGGCCAGGTTTTCTCTTTTTTTTTATTTACTCCAAGGACGTGCCATTCGGAATTCAACATGTGCAACCAATGTGGTTGTCTTCTTTAACTGCCACATACCTGGTGGCATGCAGAAATCAAGGAAATTATGAAGCATGCCTACTGCAATCCGGGGCGCGTTTGCCGAGGATTGCAGAAAATGGAGGTTTGTCCTGATTGATCCCTTGGGCAGGAAGTTAAAAAAAAATGCTAGGTTTTAGAGCAGTGTGCCATAATCAGCCAAATATAACACTAGCAAGCAGTGTAGTTTACTGTAAGCAATTTTTGATGTGCAAATGTATGCTAAGGATGACATTGTGTAGATTTAATCACTGATTTTGTTCTTGCTTTAGCTGTGATCTCTGTGCTTTTGCATGCTGACCCGCAGGTCGCGGGATGGAATCCCGACAGGGGCGGCTGCATTTTCGATAAAAGCGAAAATGCTGTTGGCCCATGTGCTCAGATTTTGGGGCACGTTAAAGAACCGCAGGTGGCCGAAATTTTCGGAGCCCTCTACTGCGGCATCTCTCATAATCCTATGGTGTTTTGGGGCTATAAACTCCACATATCAGATCAAACCTGCACTGTTGCAGGAAATTGCACTTGTGAAACATTACCAGAAGTGCATTGCACCTGCTCACTCTGTTACAATGAAGCTACATTCATTATGAAGTTAAGGTTCTGGCAGTGATGTGACCACGTTTATGGACTGCTGCTTTGGACGGGTTATCTTAAGATGAGAGGAATCGGGTATTCGTATTTTGTTCTCTTGTACGACTGAAAATGGGGGTACAAGAATGGAGTTCTTGCGGTGTGTGAAGTTTATACCTGAGGATCATGAATTTGTGCCTCTCTTTACGAAAAATTTGAGGAAGCTGTATATTTGACGATGCATACTATTAATATGCATACTCAATGTACACATTTAAAAGACAGCGTGTTTTTTTTTATAGAATATGCAGATCATCAGTAAACATCCTATGGTTGCAAGGCACCTGTAACTTTCACTTACGAATTGCATGCGAGGTGGAAATACTTTTCTGTGGTTAAAATGACTGTTGTGACTAAGAAAAACTCATTTAATTAATGAGTTTAATTATTTACTCGAGGGCAGGTGTTTATAATGCAAAGCTATAGGGCGTGCCAATTTATGCCATGCGTATTTTTTTTAGAAGTCGCAAAAGTTGCATGTAGTTCAAGGTATTCATTATCGAAATTTAACCTTAAAGTTAAAACTGAGACACACGGGGGCGGGGGGGGCTGACTGTTCTGCCGTGCCTGACCAGAATGACGCTGTGCAATGGAATGGCGAAGTTCGGTTGAAGGCAAGTGGGTC